GCGGCGCGGGGGGGGCCCGGGGGGGGGGGGGCGCCAGAAGGGATCCTCACCTAGGGTGCAAAATAAGCTAGGGCCGGTCCTGGTTGTGAGCAAGCGATTTGGCTACTGCCTAAACTAAGGCTATGGTCACACGGACCCCTTGCCGCGCGGGTTTTCCCGCAGTAATTACATCCGGGACATCCATGTTGCTTTGATGGTGTTCAGACGGTCCCTCTGCATCCCGCTTTACTTGCGCGAGTAATTGTTCACACAGCCGCGCCGTCCCCGCAATCGCGGGTTTTTTAAAAAAAAACCTGTGCATGCGCTCGTCTATCAATAAACAATGTGGTTAAACAGGCGCTTGGTCGCTCGGGCGCTGGGGCGTCTGGGGCGTACATACACACAAACAACCCCAAAAAACAAAATAAAAGTGAGCGCCCGTTTGAGCATGCGCATGACTTTAACCGGAAACAAAAAAAGGGGGGGGGAAGCGCTATCAAGGCGGATCGATGTCCAGATACCAAAGAAGCGAATATAAAGCGCAAGATAGAGGGAAAACACCAGTTCCAACAGGGGTCAAAAAAACGCGGATAAAAGAGCAAAAACCGCCGGGGCGGGAGGCGGGATTGCCTATATAGACAGGAAACTTTAATGCGGGAGAGATCGCCTGCGAGTCCCGCACTAAAGTCCGTGTGACCGGACCCTAAGTTTGCTCTGGAGCCCTCCTTCCTGAGCTGAGGCAAACAATGTGTGAGCCAGAGGCTAAAAAGCTGTGAGCTGGCTCCCACTAACTCAGCGTAGAGGGAACGCTGGTCCCCGGCGGCACACACCAGGAAAAGTTTTTCCACCCTGCTCCGTTGGATGATGCATAAATAGAGTGACTCGCCCGAAGTCCCGCCGAACTCGAGGGCCGGAGGAATTTCCTTCCAGAGCGTCGGACGCGCCGTGCGCTGGAGCTCTAACGAGGCACCGAGCACGTCCCCGCGCGAGCCTAAGGCCCAGCGGAACCCATTCGCTTCCCGGGCGCTGAAAAGGCGTCTGCCTCAGCACTGCAGCACTCCCTTCCGAGCGCCCACGTGCGAGCCGGCGGTGACAGGGCTGCCCGCGCCTGATTGGCCGCGAGAGTTCAACCAAGAACCCCGCCCGGCCGCCCAGCGTTTGGCTCCGGCCGGCAGGCAGCGATCAGGCTCAGAGCCGCTCGCGCCGCCTCGCGCAACGTGTCGCGCGCGGGCGGATTCGCCGACTCCCGGCCAGGCGGGGAAAGAGACGCGTCCCGGCGAGGCAGCCGCAGCCGCGCCTCCCCACCCGGCTCTCCCCGCCTCTTCCAACCTGCTGAGCGGCGCCCCCGGTAAGTGACCCCAGTCCGGCCCCAGAGAGAGCGCGCTGCGTCCGGGGACACCCCGGGAGAGAGGGAGGGAGGGGCGCCCGTGGGGACTCTTGTGTAACGAGGGCGGCGGCGCGTCCCGGGGCAGCCCGTCTCCCGCGGGCGTTTCTGACCCGGTCGCCGCTGGTGGCGGCGCGCAGGTGGTGCTTGGCCGGGGGACGGCGAGGGCGCCTCTTCCCCGCCACTCCCACCCCGAACGAGGGGACCTGGTGGCACCCAGTTGGGGATCCGCTGGGACTCCGCTCGCCGCTGCCTGGCGAGACGAGCCCGGACTGAAGAGCGACAGGACGTGATAGAGCCGCGAACCAGAAGCCACATCCAGGGCAGAGGCGGAAATGAAGGGGGGGGGGGGCGAGAGAGCGCGGGCGTGCTTTGCTGTTCATACGTGCGAGAGCAGGGACGGCGCTTCTGTAACTCTTTCTTTCTCCTTCTTCCCCCTGTGGGATCTTTCCCCCGTTAGCTTGGTTAAAACAGGTGGATTTCCCAGGTAGCCCTTGATGGTAGAGGCTATGGAAATGCCCTTAGAGGCAGAAGTAAAGGTAAAGGTAAAGGTTCCCTTCCTCGAAAGCCAGTCGAATCCGACTCTAGGGTTGCGGTGCTCATCTCCGTTTCCAAACTGAAGAGCCAGCGCTGTCCGAAGACGTTTCCGTGGTCACGTGGCCGGCATGACTAAATGCCCAAGGTGCACGGAACGCTGTTACCTTCCCACCGAAGTGGTACCTATTTATCTACTTGCAATTTCTTGTAGAGGCAGAACCTCTTGGTAATTGCTGTAGAAAGATATCTCGGATGAAGAAGCAAATTAAAAGGAACATTTATTCAAATGTATAAAAGCATAGCTAAAGGCACCCATCACAAAGCCCTGAAATGCTTTTGTCCTCTTTGGTTAGGAACTGCTCTTCCCTTTCCGCAGCCTACGCTTTTCTGGGCTTTTGACTAGGAAGTCTGGCGTGTGGGCATCTGTGAGTATCCAAGCATCATTGGATGCTACCCTGTCGTAATAATTCTCTCCCTGGAGTTTCTGGTCCAAACAGAAATCTCTGTGGGCAGGAGGGGAAAGGAAAGCGCAATGTAATATCTAATAACAGGTCGACCCTGTCTGATATTCTGTTAGGTTGTCTGCATGGATACAGGAGCCTGTTACCTTCAGCCACAATTCAGTAGAGAAGCACAGGAATGCTGGTCCTTTTTGTCTCCTGAGTAGTTTCCCTTGGCTTTTGTGCAGATCCTAGAAACAAAGGAACGTTTCCTTCAAATGCAGACAGTATACTTTCGAGTGTTCTGAAAGTGATGCTGGCCTTTCTGAAGTTTTCTTTACAAGACTTAACATTAGGTTGCTCATAAAGTTTTACTAGTGCTGCTGATAGCAAAGAGGCTGTCACTGGTAAAACTTAAAGGGAAAATGAGGTGCGGTAGATGAAGAATGTAGATAGAAGATATCTGGGTGTGGAAGGGAAGTCAGAGGTTGTTTACTGGTAGTTGTGAGCGTGCTGTTCCCTCTGTTATGGGAGATGGAGAGGAGCCTGTGTAGTATACTAGCACTGTAATCCTAAACAGAGTTACACCCTGCTAAGTCCGCCACAGTCAATGGATTTAGAAGGGTTTAGGTCTGATTAGATCTGCACAGTGTACTACAGAAGCAGAAATTCCCAGCAATAAAGCCTGTGCCAAAACATGTTGATAGGTTAACTCTTGTTTTGCACCAAGCCCGTGGCACAACACACAACTTGTAAGGATTACTTAATAGATGGAATAGTGGAGCTACAAGTGTGAAACACTTGTGCTTTGAAACATGACCACCATGTCTTGCAGCGTTTGCCGAAGTATTCTTTGTTAGTCTTCTCTATCAGCGCACCTCTTTGCCACAAGTGTGTTCCACATAGTGTGAAATGGTATGTCTATTTAAGGATGTGTGTGCCTGGCTAGTTTTTATAGAGGGAGGTGGAACTGGATGAGTTCTTCAAGCATCAAAATTCCTGATGCTCCTTTCCTCAGTCACTGAATGTATGGGCAGTTTCATTAGTGGTGGGCTTCTCTTTATGTGCCTTGTATGAGGACTGTTGACAAAAATTGTTTCAGGCCACATCCTGTTTTTGGGCACTGCTTCTGCTCTCTGAGTTCAGAGTTGGTATAGGAACCTTCTGCACCAACTCAACTTAAAATGGGTCGTGGTGGTGGTCGGTAGGCACATAGTTAAAATGAATGACCTTTGTCACCTATCATGTTGTTCACCATCTGAAATACTGTTGCATCACATAGAAAATGTAGACTCTGGCTTTACACATCAACATTGCCCTTTACCTATACCTTTGAATAAAGTTGGCATTAAGATTCCAAGACAAAATGTTGCAGCTGCTGGTATTTCCTTTATACGCCCTAGTTACTTTAAAAAGATCTGCTGACAGTCTTTTTCCAAATGAATAAAGTTAATAGCAGTTGCTTGAGTAGATGACTCTTTTGCATATGGGAAAACCTTCCAACTTCTGTGGTCCCTGGGGGGGGGGGAGAGAAAGGTAAAATGGTGTGAATTCTAAAAACAAGCTTTTCTTTTAATTGTGCCTGTTGGGTCTGTAATGTTTTTAATGTTTACACAGCACCTTAATGCTCCAGCTTGGTCCCTCAGCCGTAGTAGTAGAAAGACTTACTGGGCGAGCAGTACTAATTCTGCCGGAATGCCTGCTCAAGTTTAGGCTTATAAATATTTTGTGGTTGGAGGGGGGCAGAATATGATGCTATCACTCAGGGGTCGTTTCGTAGAAAAAGAGGCGCACGAGCTCATTAGCATAACTCATTCGCATAACTCATTAGCATAGGCCACGCCCCCTGATGTCACCGGAAGTGTGTCAGAAGGCAACACCCACCACCGCTCAGGCTCCACTGGACTGTTTTGGATTGCTAGCTATTTGGGGGGGGGGGAGAGGAACGTGCAGATCCCTCCTCGCAGAGGAGGGAGAGCTTGTGCCTGAATAAAACTTGGTCTTAAAGGTGCCACTGGACTGTTTCGGGCCGGGGGGGTGGGCTCTGCAACTTACCTGGCTGCTTCTTGCTCTGACTGAGGGCTGCTGGGAGCAGGGGGTGGGGCTTGTTGCATGTGCCCGCCCCCTGGGCTCTTTACTGCCGGAGCTCCGCTCCTGTGCGCTCCTGCAGGAAATGGCCCCTGCTATCACTGATATATAATATTCAGTGGGTTGGTGCTTGTTTGAATTATTTAGTTAGTAAATAGCTGCACTCTCAGCTCCCAAGGCAATCTACAGCATTAAAAGAGAAAACTTATGCAGCATAAAACTCAGTGATAACAATAACTAAAGCAGCAAAGTAAATGTGTTTAGGAAAAGGACACTGGTCCTAAAGGCATGTATGTAGGAGTAATTAGCCCAACTGTTCTTGGTGGAGTTTATAGTAGAACCTGTTTAAACCCCAGCATTTCAGTTTAATTAAACTATGGATTGCATTTTCCATAAGGGCCCTTGATTTTCTGGTGAGTTGTGGGAAGCCACCTGAAGTCTTATGGCTGCCTTACCATAGCGGACCCAATACGGATAAAGCTGGGTAGGTTTGGCTCCCTTTGTTTTCAGAAGAGAGGCATACATGCTTGACTCTCATCTATCTGGATTGTGGCTTTTTAATTAAAAAAGCTATTAACTAAAGATGTCTTAAGCTATTCACCTATAAACTATCAATGCAACAGATGCGCTTCATAGAAGCACGCTAATTGGGGAGCCATGATTAGGTAGGCTTCCCTTCCGTGTACGTGCTTAATGGCAATGTTATAAAATGGTAGTCAATTCCTAAATGTGCTTACTAGGCAGGAAGATGGACTGGTACTTGAAATGTGTGTTTAGAATTATGTCATTGATCTCAATGTCTGTGATGCCTGAATAAAATCATGTGTTGGGATTTTTTTGTTTTGTTCCTTGCATAGTGCTGCTATAGCTTGTCATTATGCTCACGACCCACGTACTGAGCACTTATATGTTGGTGCAGCAGGTTAGAGAGCTGATAGTACATAAACTCTTTACAATTGGCACCCAGACCAATAATCACAGCCAAGAAGCAATTTGATCATGGAATCTGAATGACGTTCTCACCACTAGAGATGGTCACATCAGGTCAGAGTTGAAACATATTCATGGGAGGAGAAACTTTCCTATTCCTGTTTGCTGTTTATTCCATATGCCAACAAAGCAGCGTGGTATAAAATGGGAACCTTGGAGGGCAGATCTGCCCTGTTTTCTACCAGTTTGCTGTGAATCTTGGCACAAGTTTCTTAACCAGTCTGACTTGGTTCCTTTTTTTTTTAACATATGGAAAGAAGTTTTTTTTAAAAACATATGCAGTGCTTGCTTCCCAGGAGTGCTAAACTCTAATTAACAATGCAAAATATTTTTATCTTGATGGTAGAGGCTATAGAAATATCCTGTTGCCCTTAGAGGCAGAACCTCTTGGTAATTGCTGTAGAAAAATATCTCAGATGAAGAAACAAATTAAAAGCAATATTTATTCAAATTTATAAAAGCATAGCTAAAAGCACCCATCACAAAGCCCTAAAATGCTTTTGTTCTCTTTGGTTAGGAACTGCTCTTCCGTTTATTTTAAAGAATGAAGAACTAGATTTGGCAGCAGTAAACTTAGAAATTCTATATATTCAGTTTAGAACACAATCTTTTCTGCGTATGTACAGATGTAAATGCAGATGGAACATTTTAGGTTCAAGTGGGTTCACTTAAGTTTTGGAACTGCAAGTGCTTCATCACTTGATGACAAGTGACCTTCGCTGGGAGAGAAGAGAGTAACCTTGTTGATCCTTCTGGCCTCTCAGTGTGTTTCAGTACTATTAACCATAGTATTATCCTTCTGACTTGGTTGACTGAGATGAGAATTCATGGCACTGCGCTCTGGTGCTTGCTGTCTTGGGTGGCTGATGGTCTGCTTTACATAAGAACATAAAAGACACCAATGTTGGA